TTTTTTTGGAGCATCCTGATGGCCACCGCCACCATCTCGCTGAGGGACGGATCCGTCTCGTTATTCCTGTCCAGCTCGTACACCATGTCACCCGGCTCGAAGAGGCCTGGGGACAATGACATTGCTGGGGGACATCCTCTCCCCACCAAAAAAAAGATAAAAAAAGGGAGGGAGGGAAGGCAAATCCAGCCCCGCCGCCTGCTTCTTGTGCTGGTTCAAGTGTTTCTCCCGGAACCAGGGTGATTAGATAGGGGGCCGGGGGATGCTCCCAGCCCTTCCTTCCGGGCTGAATCCTGCTGCCTGCCTGGGCTGGGGAATTGCATCGTGGGCCAAGAAAAAAATTCCATCCTCAGGGCATGGGGTAGCAGCATCTTTAGGGGGTGTAACAGCATCCCTTGGGGGGAGCTGCATGTCCAGGGGAATAGAAGCATCTTTGGGGGAGGGTACCAGCACCCCCAGGGTGTGATACCAGCACCCCTTGGATGTAGCAGCATCCCTGAAGAGGGGAGTAGCAGCATTTTTGGGTGCACAATGGCATGTCTTGGGGCTACCAGCACCCCTGGGAGGTAGCAGCATCCTTTTGGGGGGGTACCAGCATCCCTTTGGGGTACCAGCAATCCCAAGGGAGTGACAGCATCTTTGGGGAGGGGGTGGCACCAGCATCCCCAAGGCAGGCTACCAGCACCCCTTGGATGTAGCAGCATCCCTTGTTGGGGAGGTATCAGCACCCTTTTGGGGTACCAGCATCCCCAGGGAAGCAGTAGCATCCCTTATTGGGGAGGTATCAGCATCTTTTTGGGGTACCAGCATCCCCAGGGGAGCAGTAGCATCCCTTGTTGGGGAGGTATCAGCATCTTTTTGGGGTACCAGCATCCCCAGGGGAGCAGTAGCATCCCTTGTTGGGGAGGTATCAGCATCTTTTTGGGGTACCAGCATCCCCAGGGGAGCAGTAGCATCCCTTGTTGGGGAGGTATCAGCATCTTTTTGGGGTACCAGCATCCCCAGGGGAGCAGTAGCATCCCTTGTTGGGGAGGTATCAGCATCTTTTTGGGGTACCAGCATCCCCAGGGGAGCAGTAGCATCCCTTGTTGGGGAGGCTTTTGGGGTACCAGCATACTCAGGGGAGCAGCAGCATCTCTAGGGGGTTACCAGTGTCTCTGGGGGTACCAGCATCCCTCAGGGGTACCAGTATCTTTGGGATAGGGGAGTACCAGCATCCCTTGGAGGCAGCAGCATCTTGAGGGACTAACTGGCCACTCCAGCCATCCCAGCACCCCTGGACGGGGTCAGTGGCGTCCCCCCAAAGCACCCAGTTGAGCTCGGGGCACCCTTGGGCGTCAGGACTCACCCAGTAGGAAGTCGACGCGGCTGAGGTTGAGGGCGAGCAGATCCCGCCGGTGCCACACGTACTTGGCGACCTGGGGACAAGGCAGGTTGTCACCTCCCCATCCCCTCCGCCAGCCCCAGGGCTGCTTTATACCCCTCCGCGCCCCCAAAAAATCCCCCCTCGAGGGAAGAGCTTTGTTGGGTTACAGTGGAGGTGACGTGTGGGCACCCCCAAACTGTCACCTTGCCGGGGGGCTTGGCGTCGTGCCACGCCTGGACAAGGTCCCTGCGGTCAAGGCGGGTCCCTCGATGCTTGTCCTCGTGGGGATATTCCACGTCGCTGGCGTTTTTGGGGAACATGTATTTCCGTCCGCCGCCCAAGATCACCTGCAAAAAGGAAGGGGGGAAAAAAAGAAAAGGCGTTTTAAAAGTTATTTTTAATTTTCTGATTTTTTTTCCCCCCTCCCAATTTGGGTTTAATGGGGAGGGGAAACCCTGGGATGTCCAGGAAAACCCAGGTGAAACCATCCAAGGAATTTCACTTCACTCAAAATAACCCTGAATCCCTTCTTATTCATTAAAACCCAAGACAAAAATAATCATTTCAAGCAGCAAAATTGGCTTTTTCACATTTTTTTTCCCCCCTCCGTCTGTGGGAAGGATGCTCCACATCGGGGTCCCCGTGTGAACCCGTCGGGACGCAGCCCCATCCCGCAGCTCTCGCTGTTTGCTTTGGAACCCAATTTATTTGGCCTCTGTTATTTATAACCCAGCAGAGATTTTTTTTTATTTTTTCTTTTAATCACCCTCTTTCCTTTTTCTCGGCGCAGAAGGTGAATTATAAAGCTGCAAAACACCACCGCCAAAATTATTAAGCCAAAAAAAAGGGAAAAAAATATCTTTTCCCCGCTATATAATTATTTCCAGCCTGGGACAGAGTTAAAATTATATTAAAGCGAAAAAAAAAAACGGCAGAAGAGGCTATTAAAGAGCTAAATAACAGGCTGAAATGTTTGGTTTTGGGGCTATTTTGAAGGACAGAAGAGTATTTATTTCCAAGGCTAAATTTTGGCATAAATCCACAGCGAGGGGCAGGATCGGGGGGAAAAGGGAGGGGTTTGGGTACGGGAGGTATGAGAAAGGAGGGGGCGGCTGAGGGTGGGGGAGGACAGGGGCTGAAGGAGGGTTTGGGGTCTGATCCCAGCTCTGCGTTGGATGGTGGTGGGTCCATCAGTGGTCCTAGTCCTATGTGCACCCAACAGTCCTGGTGTCCCACCCATGGGTGGTTCTGGACTCATGTCTGCGGGGGTTCTAGGTCTGC